CAAGTTTTTGTTTCCATAATAAATCCCTTAATTGGTCAAATATAGCAGAGAAAGCATGTATCAAGAACGCTGGCTTTCCAATCGTTACAACTTTGCAGCAAGGAGAGTGAAGGTGTATCGTTTTGGACGTATATTTGACAATTTATGGAGATTGAACAAGCAACGTGATGCCGCAAACCGCTAATATCGGGGAAGACTGGCCGTTGGTCCCTCCCGCTCAGCAAGTGGGTACTCAAAGCACGGCATAGGCAATTGCTTATACAGAATGTAACGCACTTGAGTGATTGTAGTTTGCACATTTTAGCTAAGGGACCAGTGAATTACTGTAATCTGTGGCAGTCTCACATATCAATCAAATGATCTTCTTAGTCATCAAAACATTGAAATATTCAACAAAGAAAAGGAACAGTTGCACATTGCTTACAGAACATAGAAACAAAGTTGATTGGTATATACAAGGAAAGGAGAAAGTACGATGCGTTAGGGAATTAGAACAGCTCACAATCAATTAAGCATGAAACAGTTGTCGGAAGAATTACCCAAACTTCTGGATATTATCTCGGTTTCATCAATGCTTCATCTTACACCATGCAGCTTTAGCGCGGACAATCGCGAATATCGCAACCACAAAACTTGAGGAAAAATCAACTTTGCCAAAAGAAAAAATACTTTTTGAAACCATGTTGAAACACTGGTTGAAGAAGCAATACAAATCGTCTTTCTGCTCCAAAATTCAATCCTACTGTGCTACGTGCTAATTGCACTCCTTCAGAGATATACAACTCTTGGATCTCCAAATCCTTTTGATTACATGTTGGCACTTTGTCCTTCTTCATATCTTCCTCAAATACAGCTCAAGGCTCCACTCTCAAAAGTTTTTGATCAGGAAATTTTGAGTTTCTCTTGTAAGGTTTTTAGCCAGAATTCCCACAATCACTGGCCGAAGTGCTCAAGCTGTTCTTTTGTTTTCGGTAACTATGATATTCATTCTTTTCCGTTTTCAAAAGATAGCCCAATCATGAAGTTCGCATTCATTTTTCTTATTTCTCGGTACACCCGAAATCCCACTTGAAACATTGACGACGAGTCATCTTTTTTGATGTCTGTTCTGTCTCTGCGGACGAAATGTTTCCTCGCACTTTTACGGTTCGCTACATTCATATACGTATGCATCTACACGTAAATTATGAATATATACGTCGAAGGGGCAACTCCTCCTTTTTTGACAAGCTTCGCCCATTCGGCAACGCTAGAAACTGCTCAAAATCTAAAAACTCGTGCAACTTCTGGCAACCTTGAAAAGTGTGCGGAGTCTGCCACTGCGCAGTGCTGTCGCCAACTGTAGCGTATTTTTGGCCAAGTCAAAGGGGGCCTTCATAAATACTGTTCTGTAAATACTAAAATAATCAAATGCTCATAAATTGTTCCCCATAGACATTCTTACTTAGTCGACTTAACAATCTATGCTAAACACCCTTTCCCTTTTTACCCTCCACCCGCTATAGATTTAAACAAGGTGACCCAACGCAGCTTTGTAACCTTCACAACCATTTTTTGCCTCATTCTTTTGATCTACGCCTTCTGTTTGATCAGACTAACTTCAAACTTCTCGCTTTGAAGTTCAAAGAGTGAACTTCAAACTCAGATTTTTCACTAAGCAAAAGTGATAAATTCCCTACTAGATTTAAAGAATTTTCATGCTCGCACATTTATTTTTCGTAAAAACTTTCTGTCGGACCAAATCCTCTTCTCGAAAGTTTTTCAAATACCTTGTTTTCCCTTTTCCGAAAAGTAACTAGATTACTCTAATTTCTTTTCTGAAAGATAGATAACCACGTTCCCGCTTTTCTTGTTCTTCAAAGCATCCGACATAGATGTTAAACATTTCTTTGAGGATTTTTCATTCTTAAACACGATTTTGCTTCTTATGAGCTACTTTCATCGCTCCTCCCTCTCCTCCTCCCACCTCCCTACTTTCCAAAACTGTCCTAACTGCAGCTGTGCTAATTCTGTCAATTTCCACAGCCATGCCCCATTCCTCATACCCACAGCTAACAAGACCAAAGTGCTCACAGCCTTCCATTCTGTTCGCCATTCTTGATTCTTTCCGTCTAAGCGCCTGAGTAGAAGCAATACCACATGAGCGTACAAAGGTGACGGGCATTGAGATGCCTGGTGTCAATAAGAGGCTCTAGAATCATAAGCACTGATGATAACAGCTTGCAAGCAACAAGACAGTCATAGTTCCTAACTGCAGCTGTGCTAATTCTGTCAATTTGCACAGCCATGCCCCATTCCTCA